GTTCTTCACAGCTCTGTCCACTGTGTGGACATGGTTTCCAGAAAAAATAAGATTATATTATACTGAAGCTTTATTACAGGACAGCCGGTTTTGAGAATCTTTGTACTTGGAGGTGGTTAAATGGAAGGAATAGTGAGACCATCCATGAAAACGACACTTTTTTTAGTTCATGATATTTGATACAAATATAAATATGTTTTTGACATAACTAAACTAAGTGAAATTTTTTTGTGCTATTATCCCTAGCTATGTAAACTCCTACTAATTATCCCTTGGCTAAATATCATGATAAATCAATTCCATGAGTGTATTACCTTTGGTACTTGGAGTTTTAGCCATAATGACTTAATTATCAGAAGAAAGGAGAATTTACCTTCTCTGATAGTGCCTTTAGAAGGTGGTTAATTTTCACATGCTATAATAGAAATCCATTAAAAATCAGCAAGAAAAATGAATTGAAACGGATTAAGTTAGAAAACGTTGAGTAAACTAGAGATTTATTGAAGTTCCAATAAAGTTTCTCCCAATCCTAATAGATTTGATACCCTCCTTCTGTAACAGATAACTAGTAATATCTCTTTACTATCCAGACCATAGTAATACCTCCACTTAGCAAACTATGAGGTTGCTAAATGAAGGTCCTGGATTAAAACATGGTTGTTAAGATACAGATATGTAACTGTTAATTCTCATTGTTCTTGTTGAAGTAATAAAATGAAATATGTTACTGACTCTCTCTGTTTCGGCATCCCCTGCCCAGCTCTTGTGTCGCTTATAGGCCCCGAGTCAGCGCTGACTTCTAACCACAGGACAATCAAGCTCTCAGGATTCTGAATGTTCCCAGCAAGCAGGGACCCAGATGGAAAGATTCAACAACACCTTTCCTCATCCCAATGGCTTTGTTCTGGTGGGCTTCTCTGAATGGCCCAGACTAGAAATGGTTCTTTTTGTGGCTGTCTCCGCCTTTTACATAATGACCCTCCTTGGAAATTCAGCCATCATTTTCTTGTCCCGCCTTCATCCCAGACTCCACACGCCCATGTATTTCTTTCTGGCTAATCTCTCTTTTTTGGACCTCTGCTACACTACCTCCACTGTCCCACAGATGCTGGTCAACATACAGAGCCACCAGAGAAACATCAGCTACACAGGATGCATAGCTCAGCTTTTCATCTTCCTTGGCTTAGGATCCACTGAGTGCATACTTCTCTCAGTAATGGCCTTTGATCGTTATGTCGCTATCTGCCAGCCTCTCCATTACACAGTTATCATGCATTCTCGGCTTTGCCAACAAATGGCGGCAGTGGCTTGGGGAACAGGTTTCAGTAACTCCTTGGTGCAAACAGTGTTGACTTTCCTGTTACCTCGCTGTGGTCAATATCGGGTAGAAAATTTCTTCTGTGAGGTACCTGCTATGCTTCAATTATCATGTGTTGATACATGGACCAACGAAGTCGAGATGTATGCCGCTGTGGTGATCATAAAAGTTATACCTGTTGGATTAATTCTGTTCTCTTACATCAACATTGTCAGGGCAGTGGTTGGGATCCAATCTCCCGAGGGTCGCAAGAAGGCATTCAACACATGTGGGTCTCATCTGCTGGTGGT